TTACTCCTGCCCACAGGCGAACCCGCCGCTCCCCCCACCTCTCCCCCCCCCCCCCCCCCCCCCCCGTGCTGATCGGCTTTGATTTTACATATCTGCAGGATTGTTCACATTGAGCTGAAAAAACCCAATTGTAACTAATTAGTAAATGAAAACAGCATTTCTGTTAAAAAGAGAGTATGATATGAATCACTGCATTAATACAAAGGGAACTAATGTGTAAATGTCCTTTAGCGAGGCTAAGCTAAGCTAACCCTGAGCCCAAGATAAGCTAAGCCTAACTTGTTTGCAGGGAAGCTGGTGAACGTCCCTCTGGAGCAGCTCCCCCTCTTGTTCAAAGCAGTCTTGCACTCCTGCAAATCCAGCCTGACCAGCTACAGGACCGGCCCGTCGCCATGCGTGACCACCTCCTCCGGAAACTAGACCCTGGCCCCGAGTCGAGGGACCGGTCTCCCCTCTTGTGAATGTGACAAGCAGCTAGTTTGTTTTTTGTAACTTTTTTCTTTATATATTTATTACACGACAGAGCTGAATGTATGCTGATTTACACTGTGCACATGCTTCTGTACAAAACAAATGCTCGTAGATGCATTGGTCTTTGGAGTTTACAAGTGTGTATCCAGTTTGCTCAATGTGTCAGTGTTGCTATTGTTAGAGCTAGACTTTAAAAGAGTTTATTTTATTCAGACGTGGAAGGATAGACACATGTGACGAGTGTTTTGAGACTACCTCAGGAAAATGTTGTTGCTATTTTCAGGTACCTTTTCTTTCTGTTAAATGAAGAGCTGCCCAGTATAAAACCAGATCCCTGTGGACGCTTTGGCACCTCAATCACAGACTGAATGTTCAAAGGAGCTGCAGAAATCAAACATTTAAAAACAGTGTTTTGTTGCACTGAAAATGCAACGTGATTAGCAAACTTTAGCTACTTTATCGGCGTGGACTCTCAGACATCCTGCTAATGGGAGGCGGTCTTGTCAATTTAACATTCCATGGGTTAGGGTGACAGTTGTTGGATTTGTGGGATCTTCATTAAAAAAGGAGCTTACGGGTATTTTTTACAATCATAGACTGGGGATGTAAGGCTTTATTGCAGGGGAAGGGAGGATAGCTAGGTTTGGTGTTTAGTTTTAGTGTTTTTCTTTTTTTGACCAAAGTGTTATGCAATGCTTTATTCAAACACACCCAGTGATGGGTCGGGGGCTGATAGCTGCCCCCAAAAAAGTTTCTTATTAATGAAGGATCAGGATAAGAAATGAATCAATCTGTGTCCGAGGGGAGAACCCTCTGCTGGACAGACAAGTACGTTGCTGGAGTTCATTGTAAATGCTGCTGAACATGCACACAGCCTTGTGCACACGTATATGCATAGAGCAGATGTGATGATTGATATTCCCTCGGCTTCTTGTCAGATGGCTTGTTTGTTTGGGCTCTGCCGCCTTCAGTGCCAGGACCCTTGATGCAGTGTTGGCCTACTCTCAGCACGCCATCACCTAACTTTAAGGACCGCCGTACGGTCCGCTTCATTTAAGATGAGGCATGAAATCTGGCTTTTTTCAATTTATTTAGAACTAACCAAGAACTAGAGAAAGACATTGCCTTGTGCGAGAGATTTTAATGGGTCAAAAAGATGTATAGAAGTGGAACTGACCACAACCGGATTCAAGTCTGAACAGGAGCCAAATCAACCTGAGTCGACTAACGGTGCTCGACACTCTGTGTTTGCTGCCTCCGGTTCAGTGGAAGCTGCTGTAGAGCGCTAGCTTCTGTTAGCGTATCCAGCTTCAAAGCGGTCAGAACCAATTGGCCCTTTCAAACGTTTCATTGGCCAGTTCATGCCAGTATTAGAGGAGTTTACACTGTTTTCAGGTCTTGTCAGGTCCAATCAAAACTTTGCACAGACCCGAGACCAGTAGCAGTTTGAGTGTGACCTGTTCCAGGTCCAAAGGACTCTAGAAAGTGTGGACTTGAGACTTGGTTCAGGTCTAGTCCTCTGGCTTAACTCGCCAAACAATTATTTCTTTTCTGAACTCGCTAATGTTCAGGAAGTTTGCGGATTATTACTTTTGGGGATGGATTCAGTGCGATTGATCCGGGCCATGCCTCAGTGAATCCAGGCTTGGTATAGAGAGTTTAGGTGACTTGCCTCCGGTTTGTGTCCCCTCTGTCAGATATGCACATTGTTTAAAAGAAGCCATAGAAAATGGTCTTTATTTTTGAAGTATACGAGATGATCATTTCAAACCGCTTGAAGTGTCTTCTTGGATTCCTCAAGGCTTTTGCCGTTTCATGACGTACGAACAATTTGAAATGCAGAGAAAATGCAGTCCTCGCAGCGACTCTTTTTTGCACACAACGGTGAGGTTCGGAGACCTTGACCTTTGACCTCGGCCACTGCCCACCCAGTGTGTTCCTCTCTCAGGTCCCTGCCGGCCTGAATCTAAACAGGGTAAAGTGAGTGTTATGTATTGCATTCAGGAGTTCCTCAGCGACCATGCTGATGTACTTGTAGTATTAGTAGATGTAGGTTCCAGGACATTGTAGGTCCTTTGTAGAAGTGTTTTTCTGTTTTTCTTTTTCTACTTTATCTCCCCCCCCCC